ATTTGAAACCAGACAGCTCAAAATTCTTTACCAAAGTTTGATAGCATACACCTTAAATATAGAATAGTCGGATGTGGAGGGGTTTCTGAAACATATTTAAAGCCACTTGAAGTAACGCAAAAACGATTCCTAAGAATGATACTTTTCAAAAACAACAGATACGCGAGTGTTGTTCTCTTGGAAGAGTCTGAGATTTCTGATATCAGACAAAAAATGATTATTTAGTACCTTTTGCTTCGAAATCAATAGGCCAAAATTGCTGTCAATATTTAGCACCAAAAGTATTTAATATCCTTCCCGAAACACTGCAAAACGAAATGTCAGTATTCAGATTCAAAAAAGATTCAAAACTATTTACAAAACAATCGCCTCGTCATTATATACGGTCAATAATTGAAAATCGAGAGTAATTTTAGATATTTATAATGTTATCCTAAGTGCACTTAGTATAACTGACGTTGTATGGACGGACACCTTTCATGAAACAACTACTCGGCTAATACCACAGAGGGCGTTGGATTATACCCGACAGGTGTCGGTGCAGGATTCTTCATTGAAGTAATTCCTGCATATGCTGTTTGCGATGCAGCTGCTGAAATCAATTTTCAATTATTGGAACACGCTTGCAGACCGTTTTCGGGCTTATTGGCCTCTCGTCAGTGCAAGGCAGTGTCCATCATTAATATGAAGTCGATGATTTTCCACAATTAAAAATCGAATACCTTTCAGAGTATCATTTCTCGAATAAGGCTGAAGCGAACGATGAACAACATACTTGTCATCGCTCTATCTGCCCGTGAACGAACGAACTGTCATTTTGGATAGTTTGATCCAAACTATGAATTATGAATTTTGTTGATTATCCAGATTATGAATTTTGTTGATTATAGGAAAATATCTCACCTCATACTTGAAAAGAAAATTATTGTTGTGACAGTCTCCATGCGTTATGACACTCTCCTTGGGAACGTCATCAAGACATTTCAACAAAACGTTTTCTCTGCCAGTCTCCATTTGGTCTTCGTATTTCGCTGCCAAGTCGTCTCTTCCAGCTTCTCTCAATTTTTTTGGTACTGTGTCACTTTTTTCAGACATATTCATCCCTATCACCATTTTTTTCAGAACTGAGTAATACCAGCTAGTCAACTCGTCGAATTTTTCTTTTTCCTGGTCACGCAATGCAAAAGATAGGGCGTGCAGTTTTGCGTAGTTTTTCAAAACGAGTCGAATATGTTGCAGGTTCATTGGTTGTCTCTTGTCATGCAATGAATACCCGCATTTCTTTAAATTCTCAAAAACCAGTGCAGTCAGGACATCAGTAGAGTGTACATTCAAGCATTTAGGAACTGCATTGAAGGGATTCTCCACTTTTTTCTCCAACTGGAACTCCAGAAATGTGGGGAGCACTTTCTCGTAAAACAATTCTTCTCTTTTGTACATCTCCATTATAGCCGGCATTTTCTCTCTCAATTCTTTGCTTCTCTTGCCCATCTTGATGGCCAAATGATCTACTTGGAGCTGGTTATTCTCATCGGTACCGCTGACTGTAGCGAAAACGAAGTCTGCAATGTATCCTTCACCCTTTTCGTTTGTACCAGTTAAATCTATCTTCAAGCCGGATAAATTTTCGGTTTTCTTGGATTCCTCGATACACTTGAAAATTTCGGTTTTGATTTCGTCATCCATCGTTAGTTTGGTAATTTATGTTCACTAGAAGCAGTTTTATCAGGGAATGTAAATTCAACTGATATGTTATTCCTTAGAATGTATTATTTGCTGAAAGATAAGGTTAAATGCCATTGTTTCGGAGAATTCCTACATTTTGAATCAATATTTAACATCTTCATTTTGTGTTTGATGTAATCCAAGGACGTTGGACAAATTTGGGTAAAAAAGGAGAGCACCTGACAATTTGTGGAAAATCATAAAAAAGATTGTGTGTGTGTATTTATGTATGCATGTAAGAAGTTATACCATCGTTTTTTAAATTATTTATCGCTGTGATTTAGTTGATTATTCGTTCCAGTTCATATTGTTCATATGTTCAAATATTTATTTTGATACTATCGTCATGTTGTGCTGTGTAAATGACAACCTATCAATGAATTGTATTATTTAAAATTTTAGGATTACTTTAAGAGAGAAAAATTCAATTTGATTCAATATTTGGAATAATTTAGTTTCTCCGGACTGTAATAATTATTACTTGTATCTATTATTGATTTACTTATTTATTTGCACACTTATTTCTTATCGTTTCGCAGCAAGCTATGATGCGATCCCTCAACATTTCCTCGTTTTCAATGAGGCTAGCATGAACTAGTGATTTTAGGTGTCCACAAGAAAAAATCGACGGGATTGAGGTCCGGTGACCTCGGGGGCCAATGCTCAGTGCTTCCTCTTTCTATCCATCGTTGGGGATATGCTACGACTGAAAAAATTCCTGCTATCACACTAAAATGAGCAGGAGCTCCATCGTGCATAAACCAAGAGTGATTTTGGAGACCACTAGGAACATCTTTCATAAGTAGGTAAGCATCTCCATTGAAACGTGAGGGGAGAAAATAGGGCCCAATTAAATAATCCTCAATTATGCCAACCCATACATTAAAAGAGAATCTGTCTTGGAAATGAGTTTGCGTTATCTTTCGCAAAGATGTGGTTGTTATGGAAGTTCATGATACCATTTCTTGAAAAATTAGCCTCATATGTGAAGAGGATTTTCGATGGAATTTGCGCAAGCTGTTCGACTTTTCTTTGAAGCCGTTGAGCAAATTCCATACGTGGTTGTGAATCACGTAGCGTAAGTGCCTGGACACGCTGAATATGATAAGGATTTGATTGCTGTTCGTTTAAAATTCTGTAAACTGTCATGTGACTCACATTTGAAGTTTGACTAATTTTTCTTGTACTTCCTCTTCGAGGACCACCTCCTCCAATTCTACAGTTCTTGTAGTCCGTGGCCGTTCTACGGCAGAATTTGTGTCGAAGCTTCCAGATTCGGAAAGTCGCTGGAAAAGATTTGCAAATGTCGCTGCACAAGGAGTCACGCGTTAGGGATACCTTTCCTAATAGATGCGTCTGGCCTCGCTTGAATTTCCGTTAGCCAAGCCGTATGCAAAAACCATATCAGCCAGTCTAGCATTCGTAAAGTCGGGCATGGTACCAAAAAATCACTTTATAAACTCCGAACTGTGAATTTGTCAATTAATAGTTAAAATGTGACAGCGAACTTCTATTTTTACAAACAAACTTTCATAGCCTACTCGATTTAATTAACTTAATTTGCAAGCGGAGAGAGACAAAAATTATTGAAATCAAATTTGGCTATAAAGTAATATGCATCGATATAGAAGATTGTAAATATCTTGAAAACGATCACCTCCAGCGTTGTTGAGGAGATGTACCTTTTTTACTGGGAAAAGGTGTGGAAATTAGGTATTTTATGAAAAGTACCAAAAGTTTACTGTCAAAAAAGTTAGGGCAATTTGAAATAAATAATGACAGCGTACGCAGCGCCCTCTAGATGTTACATGAAAATTAATACGAAATTATGTTTTCCCACGTCAAAAAAACCTCGGGTACCGAATTTAGTGCAAACAACTTATTTTTTGCAAGTGTTATTTTCAAAAAGCGAACAAAAAATTCAATTTCAACACCCCGTATCTCCGAAACGAAGCATTTTCGGACACAAGTTCATATAGACTTTTTTTTTTAAAATTGTCTTAGGGATACGTCACTTGAATATTTTGACGTACTTATGTTACACCCTGTATATTGCTATATTCTAAGCTGTAACAGATACGAAGACGATTAAATGGGAAAAAAGTTAACTGTCATCATCGGGAACAATACAATGGTCGCAGAAAATTTACGGGGACTCTCACCCTTCTCGAGTTATACGGGGAAAACCAAAAATGCCGTTTTTCGTTTTTATCGAATCGAATTGTTTTTTCGGAGGATAACAAAAAATGAAAAAGGAAAATGTTACTGTATTTGAAGTGTACTATGACGATGTAATAATAAATATTCGATAAATCGTTTCGTGTCAACATGGCCACCATCAACTTTTTTTTGAATACGGACCTGTCTTTTTTTATTACGGATATTGATAAGGCAATAAATTCACAATCTTAGAGTATATCACATTTGAAATTTTTATGGTATTTCTTTCGAAATAACTACCATCATTAGTGACAACAATTTTAAATTACGGTCCTGCCGTTAATTCTTTGGTAAATTTTTTAGATTTCTTCAAAATATAATTCAGATAACCCATTAAATTCGACAGGTAGGTACCCTAACACAATGAAAAGTCATACATTTTCGTTTTGGACATTTTGTATTGCCGGAATCCTTCTTTCAAGGCTTATTTCTTCCTGATCAATTATAATCCGTAATATTTTTATAATTCTCAATCCTGGAAGTAACAAACATATCACTCTTTGGTCAAAATTTGATTGTTGTATAATTTGGTATGATTAATTAGCATCTCAATTCATTTACCATCTTAAACGCGTAGACTTTGCTTGGTTTCTATGGCAGGAAAAACTAATGTGTTGTTGATATCTGTTGAGAACTGTTTATGATATGTTTATGAACACATCAATGATGTATTCAAATGATGAAAGAACTGATATACTATTTAGTTATGCAAAATCAAATATAAATCCTCTTTCAGCAAGGAATATGTATGTTGAGCCATACCCGAATCGTGTTTAGATCATCCAAATGTTTAGACGATTAGAAAGAAATTTGAGGGACTATGGTGCATTTGACAGAAAGAAAACAAGAAAATATGTGGTCACTGGAAGTGTGAGGAACCAAATAAATGTAATGGCTAAGCAAATATTATCACAAGATAGTTACTCATCGATAATATTGTGACCATTTTAGTTGAATATCTAATTTTCAAAACATAGATAGGAGTAATATATTTAGAATAAAATAATTGTTCAATGTTAACAAAATATTCATTAATAAATGTTTTTTCTCTAATAGACAAAATGGTCAAGTTACGGTTAGCTGCCGGACTGAGTCCGTCCCTCGAGATGTGCAGTAGATGCGCAGAGATCTGTTATCAGTCTGTTAGATTATTCGAGCCGTAAACATCAAAATTCAGGACCGTATTCAGTTACTGATGAATTTTAAAAGTGAATTGCACAAACATATTTTGAATACCGACTCAAACTTTACGCAGCAATTAAACCCTGATTATGAGTTCATTCAGGTAATTCTACAATAACCTATGATGGTCCTGGGATCATCTTGCCCCTACCGCAGAGATCATCTTGAACACCGAGGTGTATAGTCGAAGTAACCTGTATTGCGAATAGTTAAAGCTATAGGCATCTCAGAGGTCAAAAAAAATCAATAGAGAGAAATAATGCCACTGCCAACTAGTCCACCTGGACTGAAGAATTGGCGGTTCGTATTAGATGATTTTGAATAACAGAGTTTTATGATTGGCTGAAGATAACAACGCAGACTTTTTCCTGTGTAGTGATTCCAATAGCGATGGTGAACAATGCAAAAAAGAGATACCAGTGAATAAGATTCGGATGCATTTGAATATTGAAACACAGAGAATATGTTTTAATGTATATAAGAATTTACATCTCAAGTTTGGTTTCGAGGGAAACAAACTATTACAAGCAACACTAGATTTGACCAAAATTCCTTTCTCAACTGTATGTAAAATAGTCAAAAACAAACCTTATGAACGCAAGATGTTGTGTGACACTGGATTATCAAAACATTTAGGGTGCATCTAATAAAATCATTGAAAAAAACAAAATACCACTGTTACAAAAGCAATGAGATTCCTAAAACTGAAATCATAAGGAAGAAATTGAATACTTCCGGCCATAACGTGAGCTGCTATGACAAAACTCTTCAGAACTGGATAAAGAAACTAGGATTTAGATTTAAAATAATGAACAGAAGTTAAGCAGTTATGGATAGCAGAAGAATAGTGGAATTGCGTAACGAATAGTTAGAACAAATGACTAAATATAGACAAGAACAACGGCAAATTTACTATTTGGATGAATCTTGGTATAACACTCACGACACAGTTACGAAAGGGTGGACTGATGGTTCGAGAATATGTACGCGTAACATGCCTGTAACCAAAGGATCGCGACTGATCATTGTGCATTGCGGAGGAGGTAAAAGATGGGTTTCGAATTCTTTGAAATTATGTGGAAAAAACCTGAGGCCTGCAATGTTGACTATCATAAGAACATGGAAGCTAATTTTTTCGAGGCATCGTTTGAAAACACATTGATCCCAAATGTGGATGCGAATAGTGTAATAGTTCTTGACAACGCTTTCTATCATTCGCGACAGCTCATCAAAGTAGCGAATAAAAATTCGAGGAAAGATGAAATACATGGTTTTTTAATAGATATCAATTTGTATTTTGAAGATAACTATACCAAAAACCAACTACTTGAAGTTTTACAGACAGAAATGATTATTGAATAACAAAATTAGTTAGCTCCCTAACTTTATTAATGGGAAACTGTTGAGAGGGAGGTTACACTATATCGTTTACTTGAACTATACAAGATGATTCTTTCATAACGTTTAAAAAATGGTGTTTATGATAATAAAACATAAAAATATATATATTTTCTATAGATAAATTTACTATGAATAAATGTATTTATATCTACAATAAGTAGAATATCATTTAAACTACGAGCGAATCATCTCGTACACCTTTCTGCTACTGTCAATTCAGTATAAAGTTGAAAAAGTGGTCCACGACTGATATTAGCCTCTCCCTATACACAGCTTCGTTTGTCAATTTCATCCCCTTGAACATTTTCTCCATATCCTGAAATCCCTCAGTGGGCGGGGCATGATCTTTTTCAACATAAATGATCTTTAGTACACCCACAAGGAAGGTGAATGTGAAAATGGAATATTTTCTCCAATGTTTTACCAAGGTGTGATATGGAAACAATTTAGCAGTATCTGAGCCCAACTCCCTCATGAAGTTTGTCAAATGTTCGTGATAGTATTTGAGTAGGACATCGAGTTTGGCCAAGGCCTCTTTGGGTGCCACACAATATAAGAAGTATGATAGATCCATCACTGGTGAGTGTATTTCGGATAATTGCCAGTCAATGATGGCTACACTGATTGGGTTGTCCTTGTCATTCGCCTGAAAAAACAAAGAGATTCACCTAATAATTGAAAAATAACATTTGACAACAAATATAATATAAATATACAGGGTGTAACTGAATAAGTGTAACACATTTAGGGAGGTGATTCCTCATCGAAAAAAAGATAGGATCTTTCATATAAAGAAACTTCATTGGAGCATCCTTTGTTAAGATACAGCCCCTTAAAGGGGATACATAAAATTTGTATAACAATTTTTTTTACAAGCACTGAAAAAGTTACAATATTGAAATTAACCTGACGTTTTGTACTACCAAAAAGACACTTAGCCAGAAATTTATTTGGTTTACCCCATGGTTGTAAGGGGTGGAAAACGNAGTTTTCCATCAGGTCAAAAATTATTTAATCTATTCTAAAGGTTTTTCAGAAGATGAGTTTTTGATTTTTTTTAACATTTGTTTTCAAATTTATATTGGCAAATTTCAAAGTATTATAAATTCTTACCCTTGTGAAAGGGGAAAATAAATGATCCCAAGGAAAATTATCACAAGGGTGAGAAATGTTGATATTTGAAAACATTGTTTTGAGCTGGTTGCCTATGCAATCATATGGCACATAAATGAATGACACTTTGTAAAAATGAATATATAAATTTCCAAACTAATTTTTGATATTACAGGTAATTTGCTGAAAAATATTTACATTTCTTCCAGAAAATCAATTTGTTTTGATGTTTATTGAAATTTTTGACATCGTAAAATCGATTTGAATTCAAAATATCATTCATTTTTTCAATGAATGTAGTCGTCCCTATTGCTGCTGATGGTATCTGATTGAAACTGGCATAAGTATTCATCGCTGTAGCTATCGAATGACTGAAAACTTGACTGGCTAATTTAATCTTCATCCTTTAAAAGTTAGCTGGAAATGAATGAGAATCAGTAAGTTTGGGTGCTAGTCTATATTGTTTTTCCTTATCCTAGTTGTAAAGTTGTCCAAGATGAATTTTGTTCGTTGTAAATTCATCAAATTTCAAAAAGTCATCGAAAAAATGGTTTCTGCTACAATTCAGCAGTTGAGAAGTATAAAAAAAGTAAAATATTTTTTTTCTGTGACGGGAAAAAAGATTGACATTTTATCTCTGATAAAAGATAAATTCCCTTTTGAATTACGGCCCTGGAAATTGGTTGACTGAGTTGAACAAAAACACAATAGCAACTTTCCCTGCATTAAATGATTAAAGGGTAATGAACAAAAGTAATCTATTAATAACAAAACACACAACATATAGAAATCATAGTAAATGTTCAATATGTCTATCTTCAGACAATATGCATGTCGTACCCTTGCTTCAATAGTGTCACAACTCAAAAATCTTCTTTTTTCAGGAAACGCGAAAACCTGTTTCCGCCGCTGATAATCATCATTCTGGGTTTGAAAGTCTTGACAAAATGTGAGATAGTCTTTCAAAATCGAATTTCAGACGTTATTTGGTATCCTTCCCTATTTGATATTCCGTAATCGTGAAAATTAGCTAATTTTCCAAGTTATAACGGTTTTCATAATTAATCCAGAAAGTTACATTGGAAATAAATTTTAGGGGTTGCGTTTTCCACCCCGTACCACCATGGGGTAAACCAAATAAATTTCTGGCTAAGTGTCTTTCTGGTATACATTACGTCAGGTTAATTTCAATATTGTAACTTTCTCAGTGCTTGTGAAAAAAATTGTTATACAAATTTTATGTACTCACTTTAAGGGGGTGTATCTTAACAAGGGATGCTCCAATGGAATTTCTTTATATGGAAGATCCTATCTTCTTTTCGATGAGGAATTACCTCCTTGAATGTTTTACACTTATTCAGTTACACCCTGTATAGAATATGAAATTTCTCATTCAGAAATGGGTTTGAACGCGTCATAATTTCAAACATCACTTGTTTTCCAGTTATGCTTGTTTTGAAGATATTATTTAGAACATTCTAAAACTTTTACCAAAATTGAATTATCCTACCTCATACTCAAAAAGGAAGTTGTTGTTATGACAATCTCCATGGGTTATAACAGCTTCTGTTGGGACATCATCAAGACATTCCTGAAAAATCCCCTTCCTGTTGTTTTCTATTTCCTCACATTTCATCGCCAAATCAGTCCTTCCAGCTTCTCTCAAATCACATGATGCCCTATAATGGTTTTCCAAGGCACCTGGTCCTAGTATCATTTTCTTGAGAATCGAATCGTAATCAGCAGTTAATTCGTTGAATTTTTCTACTTGCTGATCCCGTAGCGCAAACGATAAGGCGTGGAATTTTGCGTAACTTCTCAAAACAAGGTATATATGCTGGAAGTTCATCGGTTGACTTTTGTCGTGCAATGCGAATCCGTTCCTCTTCAAATTTTCCAGTACCAATGCCTCCAAGGAGTCCGAAAACCATATTTTGTAGCACTTGGGAAAAGCGGAAAATGAATTCACAATGTTCCTTTTCATTTGGAAATCGCGAAACGTGGAAAGTACTTTGTCGTAGAAAAATGCTTCCCTTCTGTAGCAATCTAATATCACTGCTCTGAGCTCTTTGCTCCTCTTACCGAATTTAATGGCCAAGTATACTTCTTTGTACTCCTTGTTTTCACCCTTGCCACTAACTGTGGCAAAAACAAAGTCAGCTGCATAACCTTCACCCTTCTCGTTGGTGCCAGTAAAATCGATCTTCAAGTCTGACAAACTTTCTAACATAGACTCTTCAATGCACGAAATTATTTCTTTCTTGGTGTTTTCGTCCATCTTTCACGAGAACTCAGTTCCTAGCAAAAATACATTTCAGTGGGAAGATTGAAGTAACGGAATTTATTTCGATGTGGTTTTCATCTTTCATCACACTGGCGATTCTATTCATGTTATATGTATCGTGACGGAATTTATCTCGTTCAGAAGATAAGATTATATTCAATCTAAACTCATTCTTTTTATCAATAGTATCAAAATAATACTCAAACTCTTTCAATTCAATTTGGATTTCAGAATTATTTGATTCCCGTGACTCATTACTAACTCAGTTAGTTGTGAATTGCTCTTGAAACTAATAATAATAATAATAATAATAGAAATGGTTTTTATTTGTATAAGCACCGTATAGAAGTAAACACAAGTACATTCACTTCCGTCGACCTCTTTGATGTTTCGGGTCGGAGATTTTATTTTTTGCTGGCATGTGGCGGGGCAGAAAAGTGTAGGCTGAGAGCTGTCGTGCACCTGCACGAGGTCCGAGGTCCGATCAAATAATATGTGACCATGATCTGACTTCATCATTGCTACGAGGAGCTCAAAATAAATATCTCATATGATTTTTCCTTTCTACGTAAAGAATCGAAAACCATGAATTGTTTTTCTTGAGTACTTCAAAGCAAATTTATATAAATATTAGGAACAAAGTGTCACCATGTCTTGGAGAATACTCGTCATCGCTAATTAATGTTACGAGGGCAGATTCTTGACTGAAAAGAAAATTGTTATGTGTGAGTAAATATTGGCAGTTGCTATTATAGGATTAGAAACGATGTTTTCCTAAACAATATTTTCAATTTGCGAAGCTATTTTTCGAAACTTTCCATTTGATGTTGGTGTATAATTACTACATAGTTCGAGCGATGGTGTTAGTTTCCAATTCACCATCAGTGAGTAACCATTTCCAGGCTGTTGGAAATGGACAGTGTAAAAGTGAGTATTTGACAGTTCAATTTTCTGAGATAAATGACGCATTCTCCGTTTCAAAATATTGGATTAGGAACTTCTGAAGAAAGAACGGAACCCGAACTCTTCAGTTATTAACCGTTATTTCACGTGATAACTTTTTGTATTTTTTCAAACAAAATTCCAAACATTGAAGACTACTCGAGAGCAGTGCCTGTGCGAAAGTGGTGATTCATCAAGGATTCGAATTGATAAAGTTTTCACACATTTGGTAAAACTGTTTAGCAAAATGTATTCTTTTCGGTTGTTTAAAAAGTTTCGCCCGTGTTTTTGAGTTTAATTCAACCTGTAATATCTAAGTGAATAGCAATTCAATTCAATCGGAATAAGTGTCATTTGAACCAATGCGCTCTTACCGATGTAAAACGAGTCGATTAATTCCGTCAGCATGAAAATTGGGTCCTCGGGATTTGATGCAGTCGACGAATGCCGTTTTGGCCTAGTGCTGATTGGCCTAGGTTCTACCGGTGAGAAAGATATCGAAGTGCTCAAAAAAATGGTAGTCCGTTAGTGAAAGGTCTGGAGAGTATGGTGGGTGAGGCAGAATTTGGACGCTCATTTCGTTCAATTTTCGAACGGTGATTCGTGAAAGGTGCGGGCGGGAGTTGTTGAGGAGCAGGATCGGACCTCTTGACCAGTGCCGGCTCCTGCTGACGCAATTTTTAGTATATTCCGTCGATTTTCCTACAATTCTATGACATACTTGATCTATATCTATTCTATACAGTGTGTGAAAGCCAAATGGAATGAATTCATTATTTCGGTTACTGTACATATTTAAAAAAAATCCCGAAACACATCAAATGTAAATTATAATTTGATATTCTTCAACGTAAAATGCCACCCCTACCTTCAGCCCCTTCGAATGACAGGTACAACCTTCAATTTTTTTAATGGGAAGTATAGGTTTGTGATATATCGTTTGGAACGTCTCTTCATTCACTATTCAAAATGTTACAATGTAATAATGTACAATACGAAAAAGAACTATGGATGTTAACGAAGTAAATGTTCACCGAGAATGTCTTGGCAATATCTCAATCTCAAATAAAACTGGCTACTGACATTATTTAACATATCAGGCGTGACCAACCTAATCGCAAGCGTTATTCATTCTTTCAAGTCATTCAAATCTAAAGGTTTAGTTTTGTACACATTGCTCTTTACAGTTCCCCATAAAAAAATCTATTGATGAAAGGTCAGGTGATCACGCTGGCCATTCATTCGATCCTCTCCTCCCTATCCAATGATTGGGAAATGTTGTATAGAGGTATTGCCGTAATGTGGTGGTGCTTCATCCTGCTGGAACTTAAGGGTTTCCTGGATCAGGATATGAATTTGATAAACTTGGCATTTCATCATTTTGAAGTGGTGCCAAATAATTATCGCGATTCAAGTTGCCCCCAATGAAAAAGGGACCGATGATATGGCTTTCTACAATCCCTACCCAAACATCAACCTTTTGAGGGTATTGTGTGTGTTTTTCTCTCATCCAGTGATGATTTTCCGTTGACCAGTAGCGGCCATTTGACGATTAGCATGACCGTTGAGAGACAAATTACACTCATCAGAAAACAACTCTTCTAATGGGATGATATTGTTACCCAACATGCCCATCATTCGCTCATAAAAATAAGTTTTTCTATCAAAATCGTCTTCCATGAGCTCCTGAGTAGGTATCATTTTATAGGCATGCATTTTATTTTCTTTTAATACTTGTTCACCATCGATGTATGGCTAATATTGAATGTAGTGGATGCCTGTCTACTCGATGTATGTGGGTTTTCCTCAAATTCAAGTTTTACATCTAATTTTAGTTCATCACTCATTGCATTGGCAGATGCTATTTTTATCTGCCCCACATGATCAAGCTCGCGGAACTGTTTCTCTGTTTTACTTGAGATATTGGCGGTAAATTAGGAAATTTCTCAAGTTTCCTGCAAGTGGCCATATATCAACGTTGTATATCAACACTTATTGGAAAAAACTAAGAATCCAATATATTGCTTTGCTGATGACAGCACACTCATCTCGTTCCATTTGGATTCCAGGACATTGGCTCCAGAGGCATATCTTCATCGGCTGATGGAGATTGCATATCTTAATGAGGATCCAGAATCCAGATTTCGAATTGGGTTGAAAGTAACCAGGTGCAATTCAATGCCACAAAAACCCAGGCATCGGTTTTCTCCAAGAAGATAAATCTCTCCGAACCGGACATAATAGTGTCAGTTCAGACAATTCCGCTTTCTGCTTCGATAAGTTTTTTGGGGCGTAGAATGGACACCAATATGTCTTGGCACATTCATTTCGCTGGAATTGCAAATGCTGCTTCTCAAAAGCTTGAAACACGGTTCTGAACCAGAAAACTATACACACCTCAGCTACTTTTGATGCTTTATAATATAAAGCTCAGATAAGACCTCCTTTGGTCTTCACTGCTTGGGAACTCATCCATCTGGAGAACTGCGTTTATGTCGATCCAAATCCATTGTGAATCGTTACTTTCGCACAGACACTGCTCTGAGGATTTTCCTGTAGTGCTTTTCTTGTGTGTTTTTTGTTTTTTTTTCTAGGGTGGTGAAAACGTTTGTAGGGAGAGAAATTTGTTTATATATTTTTTTGATTATGTTGATACTTTTATAAATCGATGAGAAGACGATTGGAGGCATCGAATAATTTGAATTGAAATATTTTGAAAACGGCTGTGTGTAGCGACTTATGACATACATTTTTCCCCAAAAAATAATTGAGGGATCGAAATACATGTACGACAAAAAGTTGTGACCCCCCAAAAGGGACCAAGACCTGTAGGTTGCGGCCTCTTACAATTAAGTGCCAAATTTAAACGAAATTTGAATTTATAATATTGAAAAGTCCCCAAATAAAAATTTTTTTCAAATAACAACATTATTTTGATTTTTTCCACCGTAAAACGAAGTAAAAATAAATTTTCAACACCAAATTTTTACCTTATGGATGATGGAGAAAGAGTCCTGAGAAGTAGGTACTACATATTACACTCATTATATCGTGAGGTGAGTACTACAACTAGATTACTACAAATTTGGCGAAATATGGATAACTGCAAAAAACATTTCCACCAGGTGGAGTGCAGAACAAATTACAACCAGGTAACTAATGCAGACAGTTCACAAGTGCTACTTAGAATTTTCGAAACTAGGTAAGGTGAATCATCAGAGAAAAAATCCACTCTATAAATAGGCAAGATGATATATCTAATTTTTCAACATATTGATTTGTTTGCTTTTATCAAATTTGTTATTCTTTTGTGAATTGAAACAATTTTTGCAGTGTATTATTGTCCATACAATGATAGATCGCAAATGAACAATTCATTTACAAGCCTGATTTCCTGAATTGAATATAAAACAAAAACATCATTATTTCATGAAATATTGTCGAATATGAAAAATAGTCATGAAATAATTCAAATTGATTCAAGTAAATACATGAATTGAAAAATTTTTCAACCTCAATTCCAATATTCTGAAACAAAAACACTCGGTATCCACAATTCCATCTTTCAATATTCCAAGAGATCAAAATTGATACGATTACAGGATATAGAAATATAAAACAATCTCCAGTATTCGGTATTCATTGAGCAATCTTCAGAAACGGTTGCAGATCTCATTTTCTTCGATCCTGTTGGGTAGCAGTATAATGCAAGTTTTTGGCGATTCTTTTTTATAATATATAAGTTCTTTTATTATTTGGATGAATGAAGGTTGGGTGAAATAGCGATAAATTCTCTCGTAACAAGCAAAGCGAGTACTGAGTTGCGACAATATCATTTTCGAACATCACGTATCTACATCGATATCAAAAATATTTTCTCTGCTGAATAAATAAAATTCGGAAATGATGACATTCAATCAAGCCTTCATATTCTACCGAAATCGTGAAAAAACATTATTTTGTGTTTTCCCCGAAACAGCTGATTTGTAGTTACCTGATTGTAGTATTCCATTGTAGGCCACATGTGACCCATTGTACATCCTCCCGAGGAGTTGTTCTTCTAGGCCATCGTCCATCCTGTCCTCTCCAGGAAGGTGGACAAGTCACTAGGGGACATCTCCTTTATATTGGCAGATGTAGGCCAAGACTCGCCGAACACACACCCTCT